CCGCAGGTCCTGGCCAGCGGACTGCTCCTGCCGCGAAACAGGAGCAACTTTCGGCTTGGGGACGTCAGGCGTGTGATCCGGGAGGCAGTCAAGAAGGTGAGGAGCTGGCAGGTGCAGCGAGCTGTGCCCCAGGAGAGGCTGTGGGAGCTCCTCCCAGAGCTCAGGGAAGAAGCCCCAGCCCTGGCACTGCCCCAGGCCTGGGGCCAGGTGGGTCTGGGGGCTGCGAGCCGGCAGTGCCCGCGTCCAGCGGCCCCGAGCCTGTGGCTTAGGGGCTGCTCTGCTCTTCCTAGTGCTGCTTCGTCTGCGGCAAGACAGGGGCTGCCATCACCTGCTGGGACACAGGCTGCAGCCGCAGCTTCCACCTGCCCTGTGCCACACAGGGGCAATGTGTCACCCAGTTCTTTGGGCTCTACAGGTAAGGGCTGCAGGCCTCGCACCGGAGCCTTCTCTGTCACCTTCCAGCCCCTCCTGTGCACACCACAGGGATCGTGGTGCCACAGCTGCCACAATTGGAAGTACAAGCTGGAAGTAGCTGCCACAGCCAGAGCCACACAGGGGCTGTGGCTCCATCACAGCTCCTCCACTGCGAAGGACTCGGCCCTTCCCACCTGCCCTCGCTCACCCCTTCCATCTTGCCCCCAGGTCCTTCTGCCCGGAGCATCGCCCGCAGCAGGCAGCACAGCCGTGGCACAAGGGGCACAACACCTGCAGCATCTGCCTGAATGCTGTGGAGCTCCAGACGTCCTATGGCACCATGGCATGCCCTGTGTGCCAGGACGCTCGCTTCCACCGGCTCTGCATCCAGAGACTGGCGCTCCAGGCTGGCATCGCCTTCCGCTGCCCGCACTGCCGCAACCAAGAGCCTTTCATGACTGAAATGCTCACCATGGGCATCCAAGTCTTGAAGAGGTTGGCTTTGCCCCTCCCAACTCACAAGGCGTCAGGCACGAGCACAGTGCCAGCCTAGGCAGGCCTGTCTGCCTCCTGTCCCGTGCTCTTGACCTCAGCTCCGGCCAGAGGCTGGAAACGGGGCGGGCAGGGGAGCAGGGACTGCCTGGAGCTGCCTGCTCTGGTGGCACCCAGAGCCCAACCCTCTCCCCTCCTTCCCTGGCAGACCTCAAGCATGGCAGAGCAATGAAGTCAGACAGCCAGATCCCAAGTACATCACCTGCGACGCCAGCAAGTGCCTTTGCCCGCAACGCAGGCAGCACACCGAGGAACAGGGGTAAGCTGCCAAAGCAGCAATCTGAGGCTCAATCCAGGGACTCTCGAGGAGGAAGGACTATGGTCCTCACCACCAGCAACTCATTTGCTTCCCCAGGCCTTGGGAACTGCTGCTGTGCAGCTCCTGCACTACCACGGGCACCCACCGATACTGCTCGTTCGTGGGGCCACTCACGGACTCCTGGATGTGCCAGAAATGTTCTGCCATGGAGAGTGGTGAGTGTCAGAGCACCCAGTGCCCTCTGGGGTTTGGCTCCGGGAGGGCTGTGGGTACCAGACGCCTCTCCTGCCCGGGGCTGGCTGTCCATCCTGCTGAGCCTCTGCCTCTCCTTGCAGACTCCTCTGACCCTTCAGAGGTTTTCAGACCCAGCACTTCCAAAGAGGCAATGGTGGCGCTGGCCCGGGGCTCTCAGGTGCTTGCAGGCAGCAGCCTGTCCACGCACCCCAGGACAGGCCAGACCCAACAGGCGCCACAGACGGAAAACCCCTCAGGCAAATGGACTCAAAAGAGCCACAAGTCGCCGTCCCCTGTGCCAGCCCAGAGTGCCCCGACCTGCAGCCCCAGCACTGCCAGCCAGGCACTGCCGGGTCTGGCCCAGGGCTTCCTCATGCCTGCAGGCACCACCCTGTCCCAGCACCCTAGGACACCCCAAATCGGACGCCGAGCATGGAGGCTCCAGCGGGCACAGGAGCAACGCAGAGCGGAGATTAAAAG